GGGGGGGGGTGAAAAAGCTATTTTAGCCATGTTGTTGCAATTAATAGCACTGCCACTAGGCTGGGATTAGACTTTAGACTGACTGGTGTAACTGTAAATAGCTGTCTGTAAAAAAAATTAAAAAAGAAAGAATATCGAGTCTGTGTTTGAAAAGGTCAGATTCTGGGATTTGTTTATTTATTCATGGATGTACGTATTTATTTAATGAAACATGGCACACACACACACTTCACCATATTACCATTTGCAGTTTACTTGACCAGAGGGAAATGACCTAAATAGAAATATTTAATGTTCCCTCACTCTCGGCCCTGATGTTGTTTCCCCCTCCACAGCAGGTCACCCCGCTTTCAGAATGGCGGCCTCTCCTGCCTAGTAACAGTATCCAACACCACTGTCCTCCCGTCTCTATGGCAACAGAGAGCCACCCCTTTCCTGTCCTCCTTCCCATTGATCCAAGTTGAGCCAAGGTGTGTGCGTGTGTGTCTATGTGTGTGTGGTTGAGTCCTGGATGACCGTGACCCTTGCATCACCCGTGCTTTTCCCCCATCAGTGAACTTGAAGTATGGCCGAGTTGGCATTTCTTGAAATCCAAACTTTTGAACTTCTGAAAGGAGGCAAAAAACAATCACAAAACGAAACAAAACGATGACAAACACCATTTAAAAACGCCGATATCCACCCCTGAGATCCACGGCTCAGTGCCACAGACTGACTTATTATTATAAGCAAAGAGAGCTGCTTCCTCCCAGATATATTTGACTGGTAAACAAACACACCGCTCTCCCTTCAAACTGTTCACACAACCCAGCTCGCAAGTGTGCGTCAGAGCGTATGGCGAGCTGAGATGAGAGGCGCTTTCAAACGCGGCTTCAGAGGCACTCGTTTCTAACCCCGGTCCATCTCCACTGATGTCAGCGCTGTAGGCAAAATCACGCTCCACTCAGATCCGCACTGATCAAAAAAAGAAAGAAAAAAGAAAAGAAAACAAATGCGTCCCCAGGAGGATAAGCTGCACCGAAATGATTCAAGGCCCTGCGTGGTTTGGTTTGGCTCTGCGCGTTCAGTGGCATCGCCTTAAAGGTGGACGAGGCCGAAATGTCACCTGCCTGTCAGATTGACATCTTTGTGTCCCATTTCACCTTATGGGAGGGAAGGAAGGGGGCATTGTTGCTCTGTGAGCAGCGGGGCCTGTCCACGTTGTTTTTCACTCGGCTGAACAACAGCCTGGCGGTAGCTTACGCGCTTGTGCCAGCAGCAGGAGGACGCTCTGTGTCTGAGCTCATGAATGATTAAAAGACGGCTATTTCGCGGCTGCAGCTAAAATTGGGAGTTAGCCCTGCCTTAGCTATAATTAGAAAGCAGATGGAAAGCGTTCATTTATAAAAGCGCATAGGACGGTTTAGACGTTTTCAGGTGACCATGCCCCGTGTGTGTGTGTG